GGGGACCGGGGCAGCTGCGGGCCCCACCGTGCCGGGCGGATATTTCAGGGCAGGGCATCACCCCCCGGCCGCCTCGCCAAGGGGAAGCATCGCTGGCGGCAGCGAACGGGAACGTATGTGTCAGCGGCAGAGGGTGTCCAATGATTCATGTGCCAAACCGGAGCGAAGCTGGTCTTTCTCTTTTATTTCCCCCATGGTTTATATCGACACTAAAGGCGCTGGCTGGGACGGAGCGGGGTGACCCACCCCCAGGTTTGGGGGAAGCAGTCAGGGTGCCCCAGGTTTGGACTGGGTGGCTCCAGCTCCCTTTGCCCCCTTGGGACAGGCACGAGATTTTGCTCCAATAAAAGTTGTTTCAGAAATTCCCTCCTGTCCCCGGTTCTCGGTTGCCCCCTTAAACCCCTGGGGAGGGGCACCCAGGTGGCAATTAATCCCCCTCCTGTCCCCGCCATGTCCGTGCGTGGTCAGGTAGGGACTGTGTGGTCTTAGTGGGACACAGACACCACCAGGATCTCGTGGTGCCCTGGAGCCCTGTGTCTGCCCCCAGGGATGGGGTGGGGTGTGATGGGATGGAATGGTGCCACTCTGGGGACATTGGGACACAGAGCATCAGGGTGGTCCCACAGCAGGGACAGCACAGTTCTGCCCTCCATGACAGCTCGAACAGTCAGGCAGAGGTGACCAACGCGGGGGTTTGGGCATTGGAAAAGAGCTGGGAGACTGATTGGGAGCACAACCCTCCCCTCCCACAGTTTCGCCGGTGGAAACGGCACTGGGTGCCCCACCATGAGTTGCCAGTGCATTACGGGCTCGATGGGGTGTTACAACCGTCCCTCCAAACCCTGGGTTACAGGCAGCATCACACAATGCCACCCAGATTTGGGTACCCCTGGTCAGGTGGCCCTGCACCCCTGGTGGGACATCCCCAGCCCTCTGCCAAGGGGTCCTACCCAGGGACAAATATCTCTCCCCTTGCTGGGACTGGTGTCGGTGCTACACAGGGACCCTGCCCTTGTGGAAGTGGCCAACATGACCCCATGTCCCTGCCCACGACATCGCACTTGCATGAACGTCTCCAGTTTCTTGCAGTGGGCTTGAGGGGAGAGGGGGAGGGAATGCCTCTTGGGGAAACTGAGGCACGAAGCCAGCCAGGGTCACCCGCTCGCCGAGGGCCCTGCGGAGCGCCGAGCCCTGCTCCTGGATGGACACGACACCCCGCGACGTGTTGTGGTGTTTGGAGCGGTGCCGCCGAGGGCAGCCGGGGTACAGCTATACCCGCAGCATCCAGATGGTTTACCCGGCCCCGTCAGTCGGCTGCAGAGGAAGACTCCGGTTTCCATGGCAGCCAGCCCAGCTTCTCCAGACGTTCATGTATTCATGAAAAATAAATCCTTCCCAACGTGTTAGCCGACAAACAAGCTTAAACAGATACGCAACATACAGATTTATTAATTCATCAGATGCAAACACCCTTCCCTCCTCGGGTCGGAAGCTGCAAACTTGCCCGGCGATTGTCGGCTCCGAAGAGGAGCCGTGCCGGGGTGAGGCACCGTCGGGCCATGCCGAACTGAACCTCACGCCGGAGGATGCCGAGTTACCCCAGGGGCAGGAGCAAAACTGCAGCGTAGGACTTTCACGGGGCAGGATCGCACCCTGAGCTGGACTAACCCCATTTAACACCTTCTTTTTCCCCCCCAATCACACGGAGATGGCTATGGCAGTGAGAGCTCCTGCCACAAGCCCAAAGCAAAGCTGTGACTTCCAAGGGAGCCACCACCAAGCCAGGGGCTGGGCAAAGCGAGAGGAGCTCCCGTCCCAGCCGCCTCCAGACAAAACACACTCCAAGGCCAGAGTCGTATCCAACTTCTGTATTTAGTGGCTCTTTACAGAACTTGTTCCTTCCAAAATTGTTAAACAAAGTTCATCGATCTCATAGAAACTTTTGAAGTACAGTACATGAGCCTAACAAAAACGTGACCGGTATGTCCCGCTAGCTTTAATACAACAGAATTGCCCTGTTCAAGACTATCCTAAGTGCTTCCTTGAACCCCGTTCCACTAAAGCTCCCGCTAGCACACGACGGAAAAGAGCGGTCAACGGTCGGGCCTCGACCTTCTGCGGCGCGGTGGCGGGGAAAAGAGAGGCTGTGGGCAAGCTGGGGCTTGCTGGGGCAGGGCAGGCGGGCAGGGAGAGCCGTGCCTTTGCCGAGCCGCTTTTAGCATCGCTCGTCGACTACCGCTCGAATATAAAAATACCTTCTATTCTGATAAAAATGTATACAGTGGAAAAATTAGTCAATGCATAGCCTCGGAGCCTGGCAGGGGAGCCCTCCCGGTGACGGTCTCGGTGAGTGATGGCGGATGCCGCGTGGGCAGGGGACAGAGCATCCCAGCGGCGTCCACCCCGCGGCGGTTAAAGGCATTTTGTTAGCAGAGGGTGGCAGTGGGGTCGGAGAGGTGGCGGGGAGCACGCCAGCATGGTGCCACCGCCAAACTCCCGCACCTTTGCGTGGGGTCAGCCCTGCCAAGCCGAAGCCTGATGGTGCTTTGCCCAATTCAGGCCTGAGCTCGCCCAATTCAGACAGCAGCCTGGTGCGATACCCCGGCAGCTCGTCCACGGGGCCTGGGGACACGGCCGTGGCGAGGGGATGCTGCTCCTGCCTGGGTGCTCTCCCTAAATAAAAGTGCTTCAGCCACAAGAGCTGGTTGTGATGCTGGGAGCAGCCCCCAGCAGGGCGGGCGGCTCATGATTTTTGAGCGTTCGTCCCCAAGCACTGGTGCAAAGCTCACAGGCTCCATCCTTTTCTTGCCCAAACGGATGACGGCAGAGTGCAGGGAACTGGGATCCCAGGGATGCCCATCCCCAGCAAGCCGGAGCCGTCCTCGAGCATCACCCCCGGGGACCTCTTCCCGTCTCATTCCCCTCATTCCCAAAAAGGCAGACACAGGTTGCTTCCTTTGCTTTTGCATTATTTTTTTCTCCGCCTTTGGGAGCCGGCAGGAGCCGCACCGTGCCGTATCGGGGCTGCCACCGGTTGCCGGCTGGAGGAAGCGTGAGGGACGGTGTTCGGACCATGCTACATCTTGTTCCAGAAGGCTATTGCAGACATTTCTACAACATTATACAACCGCACGGGACATTCTGTGTTACAAAGGTTTCAAAAAACATAAACCACCAGAACTAAATACATACTCGATGGCATCAAGGTTTTCGCTTTAGAGTCTTCAGGGACTATGACACAGTCTCTGGCTGGGGCAGAAGCGATGCAGTGTCTTAGACAGAGGTGGAAACCGCTCAGCAAAAGTTTATTAAATTTGGTCAGTCTCATAGTGCTTCTTGATGGCTTTGCTCAGTAAGTCTTTTCTGTGGGGTTTTTTTGTTTGTTTTTTTTTTTTTTTTCTTTAATCTCATCCAGTGGCAAACTACAAGACTTCAGTGTACATTTAATGACACAACTGCTACATCATCTTGATTTTATAGCTATCTTTAATATCAAAGCAGCTTAAGCTGTTAATAAATTCCAAAGTATCCTTTTATTAAAATATCTAAAAGAGGTCTATAAATATTTTTTGTGTTTTTTTTTTTTCTTTTCTTTTCTAAAATTGTTCCCAGTTTTTCACATTTAAAACAAAGTTGGGGGGGGTGGCTTCATAGCGGGGGCCCCCTCCACTTTCCACGGGTGGTCTCCTCCGTGGCGCCGG